AACGCTGTGGTTTTTAGTCAGTAAGAGTCTGACACTCCCTCTCGCCTCAACCTGGGCGAAAAAGGCATGCGAAGATTTTTCCCTCAAAAAAAATTTAGAAAACTATAACCGAAACTCGAAACTTGGTAGCCGCATTTAAGATCACACAATGATCCAAATATTACCACATAAACATACATAGCGTCAGCCCCGTCTCCCATTGAAGAAGGCAAGGACAATCGCTCTCCATAAGTATGAAACGATTCTGACACCTCTTTTACTTCTTTTACATTCATCAATCTCTGCATACATGACCGTTAAATAAGACTCAATTTTTCAAAATACCACTTACTAGCGAAGCTGGGCGGGAGCCGGACGGAATGGATGTTATTATACATATGTATAAACCTTCCTCTTCAATCACTCTATCGAAAAACCACATCAAAATCCGTTGCTTAGTTTAAAAGATTTAAGCGTTCATAGGGATATAGGGACAGAGAAAGCGACTTCGTTTTATACTATGTAGTGATTTGGCATAAGTCAGTCCAATATGCACCCGCTACAGATACTGATAATAAGGCCGTGTAAAGCGCCCTCTACCGACATCCCTAACTATGCTGGCTTGGTAAACCTCTTTCTTAAATCTTCTAATATCCATTCAATATGATCAAACCACATGGAAATTTAACACTTTGTGGATTGACCAAGAGATCCGGTATCTGTTTAGCTGCCGTGTGCCAAAAAAAAATATGATAAAAGTTGACCAAACTTTACTGGCAGTAATTGTCGTATCTATCACGTACAGTTAACTACAGTAGCTAAATAAAAGTGCCTTCAAACGTGTAACGGTTAATTTAGTTGCAAAAATTGTATTTTAAATTTGTCAACAGTCTCTCATTGAAGTATAAACTCTTTTTTAATTGTCCTAAATTGCCATTTTGAGATATTATGACTGTGTGTGTGTTTTTAATTGTTTTTTTTAGTTATTATTTTGTACTTAAGTACTATTGTGCTATTTTTTTTTATGGTATAAGTCGGCAAACGAGCAGACGGATTACCTGATGGTAAGCAATCGGCGCTGCCCATGGACACCCGCAACACCAAAGGAGTTACGAGTGTGTTGCCGGCCTTTCGGGGATACGGGTTGGGGATATAAGGATCGGGAAGGGATAGGGGAGGGGGAGGGATTGGGCCTCCGGTAACCTCACTCACACGGCAAAACACAACGCTGTGGGTTGTTTCACGCCGGTATTTTGAGGTGGTAAAATAATCAAATAACTTCTCTCTGCGGTGAGAAGGAATGTCAGACTCTTACAGAATGAAGACCACCCCGTTTCTTCTGCTATTTGTCTGGACCCGTAACCCCGGCTAATAGATAACACTTTTAAACTAAAGAAAATTCATCAAATGCTTTCTCCTGTCCAGGGTAGGGCGAGTAGGACTCATCATCATCAGCCTAAGTGCCCACTGCTGACCAAAGGCCTCTTCTCACATAGAGAAAGTTTGAGCATTAATCACCACGCTTGCTCAAGGCGGATTGGCAATTTCAAACTTATAGTTAGAATTTATAAGTCCAGGTTTCCTCACGATGTTTACCTTCACCGTATGTCAGTGGTGTCTAAATAAACATAAAAAGTACATATATAGTAACTCGGAAAAAGTCACATTACTGCGCTTGCATCCACAACCCTGGCTGACAGAAATAAGAAGAAGAAAGAAGAAAGAAATAGTAATTTTTCGCGTCTAGGACGCACATAAGACACAAAAATAGCAAGAAAGGTGTTTAAACATAAAACCAAAAAAAACATGGATATACAATATAAAAATGAGTAGGTAAAGTAAGGAAAAATATGCGTCAAAAGCTAGGGACAGGATTAAGTAACAATCAAATGACTATAAGACAGTGAGTTTGCATGTTCTACCAAATAAAAGTCGTATTATGGAATCATAAGATTCACGAACAATCATCATCATTAGCTACCATTGTATTGTAACACAAAGACTTTCAAAATACGCAACAGCGATGACAAAAATTAGTCAACTCATATACCAAGGCATATGAAACTATAAATCCAGTATATCTTGGTCTCGCTGTGTATGATCTTTCTTCACATTCAACGGCCAGTTTATACTGGTTTTTGTATGTTGATGATACAACAAATTTTGAAATCGTCATTATCATCAGGGCTGGATTTGGAGCCCTGGACAATGTAATTCTGCCCCTATTTTTGTGTAATGAATTTAAGAGATTTCAAAAATACTTTGTTACTGTTGAATTGAATTGAAGGAAGGTTATTTACTTCTTAATTTTATTTTTGCCGACTTTTAAAAACAATTGTATTTTTTGGTGACCTTATGAACCCTGCAACCCCAGGGTCTTGGCAGTCTGGAGCTCTAAATTGACCAATAGGCAATATGTGTTGGTGAATTTGGCCCTGTTTTACATCAACCATCCGTGACGATTTACTTCTGAAATCTTATCTTTCTATACATTAAGAGATTAGCCATAATCTCCACTCTTAGTAAACAGTTTGGAGAACATGGTCTTAAAGGTTCAGGTTTATCAGAGAGCGCTGTTGTCTGTACTCTGTTTAATACAGTCACTTAGTCAGCTCTTGCATCGCCTACGGGAACAGGGGAGATTTTTTGTCAGGGGAAAGTCATCAAATGACTTCTCCCGCCCAGGGTGACGAGAGAGAGAGCGTCAGATTCTTACTGACTAAAAACTCCCCCGTTCATTCTCCTGCTTTAGGCCGAAGCCAAGACTCATTGCGCTTACCCCGCAACCCCGGCTGAACATCAGCCCTATAGGGCCGAGTCTGTGGTGGTCTATTGGCTCTTTGAGGCGCGAACGGAACGCTACGCGCCGTACACTCGGGCCTTGTTTTCAAAGTTTTAATCTTCTTGTTTGCATGGTATGCCCAGTGGCTGGATAATTCGCTGACGCATAGTATGGCATCAGATCGATATCCGGGTCAGCATAACAATATTTCGTAATGTTTACTACCTTTTGCTAGCGGAATCGACTCTAGTATTGGAGTATAAAAGAAAAAAGAGTAGCCTATGTTCCTCACTATAATCTATCTCTGTACAAAATTTAATTCAGATTCGTGCAGTAGTTTTTACATATTTTGTAAAGGGGTAACGAATATTCATCCGTATTTACATACTTTCGCGTTTATAATAAATAGGATATATTTCTACTAGGTCCTATGTATCAGAGAAATTTGAAGATGTATATAACAAAGTAATTGTACGAACTATTTGCCACTAAGTTTATTTTGACACCACTGATTTACTGAGAAAGAAAACAACATGAGGAAACCTGAACCTAATGTCTTATTATAAATTTGAAACCGTCAAATCGCCTTGAGCAAGCGTGTTAATGAATGCTCAAAACTCTTCTCCGTGTGAGAAGAGGCCTCTGCTCAGCAGTGGGCACTTATAGGCTGATGAAGGTTATGTGCCACATAAGTTTATTAGGCACTTATTATGTAGGTGGTGAAAATGACAGACTATAGTTTGTCTAAACATAATTTCTTTAAAAAACATCAGTAACCCAAATTGTTACATCACATCTTTAGTACGTATTACGATTTCGTAACAGCATCAGCTGTTTGGGTACAGTCGTGAACAAAAGTTTCTAAGTAGTTTCTTTATTAAACGTAATTTTTTTGGCAACTGTTTTTTGGTGGTGTATATTTGTTTTTTTTTAACTTATTAGCAGTGCTTACTGGTTTTTTTTTTTTGTTATACATACGGAATTTTTGTTAGTTTTATGATATTGTTTTTATGTTTTTTTTTTCTACTGAACCTAGACCATGTAGGTTTTTATAATAGTTAATGATGGGATTTATTGAATAGTGTATAAATATGAAAAGTTAATATTCAATTTCATTTAACTTTTTAAAGTAATATTAATATTTATAGGTGTTTTTGATATTTTGTGTTCTTACAAGTGGAAGTACGAAAAAGGTGTACCTGACGTACGCAGGCAAAGCCACGATCAAAAGCTAATTATGAGTAAAATCGTCCACATACGTGGGTTTGTGCGTGTTCACTATTCGTAAGGATTCTAAATTCAAATATTCCCGCCTATGACGTATCATGGGTGGTATCGGGCGGTTAGCCAATCGCAAGGCGCTATTCGCGCATACGCCGAACCAATAACCTCAGAAACGTCTAAACAGAACGTATAATATATATGTAGTTTTCATCTAAGATAAAGTATTTTTCTTTATAATTTTAATAATTTATAATAAATATTTATATTAAAAAAACAAAAAAAAATCCCACACTTAAGTCACTTACCTTAAAATTTCTAGAAAAATAAAATATAATACAATTTATTCTATTTCGTTAGTAGGTTAGTGAAATATAAGTATGTAAATGAACAGATAAATATATACAAATCAGTTTACATAGTGAGGAAGCAAGACATAGTTAGAATAAGGAGGCGGAATTTAGAAAAAATAAAGAATTTATATATACAACAGAGAAAATATCACAAAAATATATATTATATACATAAACAATAAGTTTTTCAATACCTGATGTAGTCACCGGATCCGGATATGAACGAATATATTGGCTAATTCTAGCTATGTCTTGCCGAACGACCACTCCGAGCTCGGTTAGTACTTTTATTTGACGATAGATGGCGTTGTTCTGATGTTTTACACGCTAAAGCGTAATATTGAAACTTTCAAAACGAAATTAAAAAAAAAAAATATTAATAAAATATGAAAATTGTAAGAAAAACAAAAACTACAAAACAAAAAAGGTTAAAAATACTTACGTGCGAATATTTTTTTCATGCACAAAATCTAAAAACTTAACTAAAAATACTACGAACATGCTAACAACAAAAACTACACCGAAAAGGTACAACAAACAAAAAAAACAAGAAATCTGTAAGTAAAAATAATCGTGCCATTAGAAGCGTGCAAAAGTTATCAGAGAAACAACTAATTCTTATACGTTTCAAAGGTACGCTTTACCGTGCCATCAAATACACTTACTTTCATCATTAACCACGGGTCCATAACTCAACCCTTCGCTGCTAGCATCAAGGCTATTTGAGTCCTGTACACCCAAAATTCCAGCTTTGGCCACTCTATGACAGCAACCCTTTAAAAGGCTCCCACAAGAACCATCTAACAGACCACCAACCATCCAACAGTAAAAAAAGAACTCGCAAGTTCCTCCCTGTGGACATTTTTTTCCATCTTGCCGGTCATTCGATTCTATACTTTTTTCTGTGGTCATTGGGGGTTTTATCGCATTCTGTGGATTGCTCAAACTGTTTATTACTCGCCCCTTTCTTTTTGGCAACCTCGAAGGCAAACTGTCGAGTATCTCGTTAATTTTCAACATTTGCTCGTCTGTGATTGGCCGGAATTTAGGTAAATCCGCCAGTCTGTTCGTCACATTGGGGAATTCGTAGTAATCGAACCTTTTCATTGGCGTTCGTATTTCAGTCTGTACAAACATTGGTTTTTCTAAAACTTTTTTTCTTTTATTTTTTTCGAATCGAGCTCGATGTGGTCCTTTGGCATCTGTTTGGAAAATTAAAAAACAAGGTCATTTCGGATACGGTGAATGAAATGAATGAAACGAATGAATGAAAAATTAGCATTGAATGAACGAGTGAATGGTAGGTAGGTAAATAGTGATGTGTTTTTGTGCACTGATCTGGGAGAATGAGTATAATAAGTTAATAAAAAGTAACATAATGAGAAAGATGAATGATCTAAGATAGTTTAGTATGCATAGTTCGTAAGAAGTTTTTATTTTACGTGTAAGTATATTAATGGTTTAAGAAATTAGGTAGGTAAACCGTTTCATGACCTGATTATTTACACATATTACTTACTTGCAAGTCAAATTAAAGAATCGGTTGAGCGAGAAAATCAAGATTTAAAAAAAGAACAAACCTAACCCCCTCCCCCCCATTATTCCCATTCGAATCGAGAACGATCTAATCACTAAACCGACTTTGTCCAACCCAAAAACCGATAGTTCTATCGTTTGTGGAATATCATTTTAAGAATACAATACTGACTAACGGATAAACAACACAGAAGCGAAACTAAAGCTTTCGGCTTTTCTTCTTTTAGAAGCGTAGAGAGCAAAAGAGATGTAAACACTTTTAAAATATTAAATTGGGTTTTTTATATAATTGTTATTATATTAGCTTTTGTTCGCGTGGAATAGTGACTTTCTGAAGATTTTTGGTTTAAAAACTATCCTATGTCCTTTCTTGAGTTCCAAACTATGTCTGCATCTGTACCAAATTTCACAAAAATAGGTTCAGTAGTTTAGGCGTGAAGAAAAGACAGACAGACAGAGTTATTTTCGCATTTATAATATTAGTTTGGATTATTTACCCGATCTGACGAATTTCAACCACAGCGTATTGTTTCACCGTGTGAGTGAGGTTACCGGAGGCCGAATCCTAACTCTCCCCCGATCCCTCGCCAATCCCTAAATCTCCAAAACCCTAACCCCTAAAAGATCGGCAACGCACTTGTAACTCCTACGTTGCGGGTTGTCATGGGCAGCGCTGATTGCTTACCATCAGGTAATCCGTCTGCTCGTTTGCCGACCTATTACATAAAAAAACCCACACAGTTAAAGCCGCAAGTCCACAGTAGAATATAGACTGTAAACTGTTAAGCACGAAATCGTGAACGAAAATGGAGTGTGATACACAAATAAGTATTTTATATTATATTAAGATTCCATTATTTGTCATCGAATTCTGAAAAGGATTGTGTAACAACTTTCTCGTGTTAATTTATTATTATAAATGTTTATGTACATTTTAAATCAAATTATACAATCGAATAATAATTTTCCGTTCAATATAAATAAAAATGCTGGCTAAAAATATATACTTTTTATAAACTTCTCTCGTAATATTTATATTTTACTAATAAATTAAGTTCAGTTTTCTGTCTGATCTAGTTTTTTTTATATAATTTTTTTGTATTTGTATTTGACTGTACACAGTCAAATAGTTGGCTTGTGAGTAGACAACACCGTGCTTTTTTTGGTTATTAATAATTTATTTAAAGGTATTTTTTGTTACATTTAGTTAAGATTATTAGTATAGTTATTTTCTTATTTTTGGTTTTTTTGTTTTTTGCTTTCTGTGTGTGCACTTCTGCAATGTGTTTTTATTTCGCGGCAAATTTTTCAAATTCTTTGTGTGATCCACTACAAAAAAATATTCAATTCAATGAAATCAAACGCGAACTTTGAACGTAATTAAGAACGCATAAAGTCAAAGTCAAAGTCATATATTTCAATTAGATCACAGTAGGCACTTTTGAACGTCAAGCAAAAAAAAAAGAAAAAAAATCAAGAGGTTTAACTTTATGCCTATCAGTCTGTCCGTCTGTCCTCTAGTGAAGCTATTTGCTCGTTCCAAAGTGTAGATTCCAATGGAGAAGAACGAGCAAGAAACTCCATGGTTACTCTTTTTCAATCACTTTTACAATTCATTTCTTTATTACATCATTTATTTTAGTCGGTTCTGATATGTGAGAACAGTGTAACACTAATATTTAAGCAAAGAGTCCGAAAAAGAAGTTAACCTCAAGGACAACATATTTAGACAGCCTCGAGATTTTTTTTATAGTTATGATTATTTTGGAGTTTATATTATATTATTATAATTTATATTATTTATTGTTATTTAGGATGCTAGTTATTGGTAGATAAATAAACAAAAAAAAGTCTGATTGATTTTTTTTTTTGACAAAACCCTTAAAAGATCCGTAGGTCATTTTCACTTTTTTTTCTATATAACTTTGTGAGCACTCGCACAGGCAACCTTTAGTAGCTTAACGTTTTTTTTTAAATAACTCATTAACAACATATTACGGTATAATTATGTCCCGGTTATAAATACCGGATGTATGCTTTCCTAGAAGTCACCAAAGGTCATTGCAAGACCGATGGAAACCTGTAATGCAACATTGAAAGTGCTCATTATCCTGTAGACGTGTGCTACGGAACTTCGATTAGTAAAAATATAATTGAGAGTTTATTACTATGAGTTCCCATAACTATCTATACTAATATTATAAATAAAGAGGTAAAATTTGTAAGTTTGTATGTAGGGGGTAATCTTTGGAACCGCTGGTCGGATTGCCAAAATTTTTTCACTGGTAGATAGCTACAATATTCCTGAGTGCTATAGGCTATAAAACATCACGCTACGATTAAATGGCGCCGAGCCGCAGGTGAAACCGCACAAGAACAGCTAGTTATATATAAAAATCAATGCCACTTTTCGTTGTAATGTTTTAACTCAACAATGCCTTTATCGATTTGGCTAATTTTGGTCTTGAATTTTTCGTGGAAGTCCAGAGAAGATTTGTAAGTACGTACAAAAAAATTAAATATCTTTAAAATGCGTAAAATCTACTTCCACGCCGGTGGAGCCGCGGGCAACCGCTAGTGTATTTTTATATTAAAGAGGTTATATCAAATAAGGTTTAAGCATTAATCGCCATGCTTGCTCAATGCGGATTGACGATTTCAAACTTATAATTAGAAACTATAAGTCCAGGTTTCCTCACGATGTTTACCTTCACCGTATGTCAGCGGTGTTTTAATAATCATAGAAAGTACATATAACTCTGAAAAATTCATATTGGTACTTGCCAGGTTTCGACCCCACACCCTCATGCATGAGAAATATATATAAATGTGAATAGATGGAGAGGGAGAGAGAGACCAAAGAAAATATGGAAGGATTGTGTGAGAAATGATATGGAAGACAGAGGAGTCAGTGACAGCGTGACGGGTGACAGGACAGAATGGAAGAAAAAAACATATGGCGCCGACCCCAAATAAAATGGGACAAGGCCAGGAAGATGATGATGACCCTCATGCATGAGAAGCAGGCGCCTTAACATCCGGGCTACCACGACACACACCACACAGACACACGAACATATTATAATACATCATTTTTGGAATCGGTCCAAAGAACTAACAGACGACGCATTTTGCGGAATGTCGAAACATTCAAATTATGAACATAATAAAGGTTGTTGTAAGGCGAAGACTGTAGCTTTCATTTCGACGAATAAGGTCGTAATTGTGGATACGTGGGATGACGTAACTAAGTTGGTAAGTACGTATTCTTTTTGTGCACAGATAGAATGAAACACTGGCCTACAATTTTTAAATTAGAGAAGACTCCTGATCTTTTTTTAAATGTGATAGATCGGCAGACGAGCAGATTGATTACCTGATGGTAAGCAATCAACGCCGCCCGTGGACACAACAGCTACCTTTTGGAGATTAGGGATTTGGAGATTTGGGGATGGGGGGGGATAAAGGATTGGTTTTGACTGCACGGTTGGTGCGGTGGTTGGGCAACTGGCGACGTGTCGCGGGTTCGATTCAATTTTTTTTCGATTCAAATTCAATGCACGGAACAACACTTTGTGTGATCCACAAATTGTTGTTTCGGGTCTGGGTGTCATGTGTATGTGAAATTGTATGTTTGTAACGCACCCACGATACAGGAGAAGATCCTAAAGTGGGGCAACGTTTTTAAAATGAAATTTAAAAAAAAGGTAAGGTAACCTCACTCACACGGCGAAACACAACGCTGTGGTTGTTTCACGCCGGTTTTCTGTAAGGTTGTGGTGTGACTCCAGTCGAGCCGACCCATTCGTGCCGAAGCATGGCTCTCCCACACTTATTGATCTATCATTCGATCGTTGTGGTAGCCTGGACGGTAGAAACGTCCTCTTATAAATCCTGTCTGATCTACAAATTCTTGGTTTAGGTGTAAAGTGTATGTGAAATCGTATGTTTGTAAACGCACCTACGACACAAGAGAAAATCCAAAGTGTAGAGCAATTTAACAAAAATACATGACGTTGCCGTATCAATCGTGCGAAATCTGACAAGTACCGCAATGTGACATTTTCCGAATTACATGTACATTCTAAGATTGTTTAGCCACCACTGGCTAACGATGAACGAAAACATTGTAAGAAAAACTTGGACCTAAAATTTCTAATTATAAGTTTAAAATCGAGAATACGTCATGAGCAAGCGTGGGGGTTAATGCTCAAACCTTCTCCGTGTGAGAAGAGGCCTTTGCTCAGCAGTGGGCACTTATAAGCTGATGATCTATCTGTTTCCATGTGAGAAGCCACAAAAATTCGAGTGCTTTGCCGTCTTTAGTGATTAGGGATTAGGGATTTAGGGATTGGGTGAGGGGATGAAGGATTGGGTCTTCAGTATCCTCTCGCACACGGCGAAACACAACGCTGTACTTATTAAACGCCAGTTTTCTATAAGGCCGTGGTATAACTCCGGTCGAGCTAACCCATTCGTGTCGAAGCATGGCTCTCCCACACTTACTTAAGACTCAAGCATCGATGTAGAACACAATCCAATTAAAAAACGAATTTAATTAGTTCGACATACATACATAACATAATGTATTACGAGGGTATACTCGAGTTGCATAGCAAGCAATGTTATGATCTAACGATTACTGTGTACGGAAGTATTGAAACATAGTACGCGTGTCGAGGATACCAAGAATCCAATAATCTATTTCCTGTATCACTGACAGTATGATTTTTTTGTGAGGGTAAAATCATCAAATGACTTATCCCGCCGGGAGGGAGTGTCAGACTCTTACTGACTAAAAACCCCCCTGTTCCTTCTCCTGCTCTGGGCCCAGGTCGCGGTGCCTCATTGCGCTTACCCCGCAACCCCGGCTGACCATCAGCCCTATAGGGCCCCGTCTGTGATGGTCTATTGGCTCGCGCGGAACGCTACGCGCCGTATACGCTCGGGCCTGGTTCTGGTCGGGCGGCGAGCTGCCCTTACTCACCGACCGCAGACCCGCGCACTGACAGTGTGATAGCCTTTTGTTTGATGTGTTTTTTTTTTATTATAAGCTGTTTTTTATTTGACTTGCAATGTTGAAATGTCATTTAAAAAAACAAAAAAAGAACGTATATTCTTAAACCTACTAGAGTCGTAACACCTTACCTATACCGATAAACTGCCTTTACAAGTATCGATATCGATCGCTAGGCATCTTTATCGATATTACGTAAGACATCGCTAAGTGGAGCGTACGGATAGAAAATAAAGCGCTCGAATTAACTATTGAATAACATTATTTTTTATTTTGATTGAAAAAAGTTTATAATCTTTTTATGCGGTTTAAGATTTTTTTGATCGTTATAATGCTGCTCGGAGTTAATTGAGATTGAAATTAATTTTCTAAGAAATGTTATGTTTGCGAATTAGTATGTTTGTTTTTGTTTTTTCAATTTGATACGTTCCAGGACGGGAGTCGCTGTTGTGGGCCAAAAAGCGGCAAAATTAAAATGTGACTGTGCCGGACACGTCATCCGAATGCATCCGGAGGGATGTGCCACTATTGTCACCCAGTGAACACCTCAGGATGGAGGCGGCAGGCGAGTTAGGCCCAGAAAAGATGGCGTGACTATCTAACGCCTATCGTCGAGACAGGTGGACACGGTCGAAAGATCGGGAGGTGTGGAAGCAAGATGGGGAAGCCTTTGCTCAGCAGTGGGACATAATAGGCTATTAAAAAAATAACACTACCTATATTATGTAGGTATAGGCACTATCGTCAGACATACAAAATTTATTGAAACACATTGATGCTCACATGAAATAACTGAGAAAAGCTGTAAAGCTTGACTTGAGGACTCTTGTCGTCGCGAACTATTACTAGTTCGTGACGGCAAGAGTCCCGTTATCACTTGAAACTAGTAGAGCTTTTCTCCATTACATTACGTGAATAAGTCATTTTTTTATCTGATAGGACAGCAATCGAGCATACGGATTACCTGATGGTAAGCCATCAGCGCGGCCCATGAACACCCGCAACAACGGAAGAATTACGAGTGCGATGCCGAACTTTTAGGGATTAGGGTTTTAGGGTTTTTTGTAAACCTCCAAAGGTTTGAGGATTGGGGAAAGGAAGGATTGAGCGTGCGGTAAGCTTACTAATAGGGTGAAACACAACGCTGTGATTATTGCTGACGTTTTGTGGATAAGAGAATTTGGAGGTTTTGATTTTTTGATTCATTGTTTTCAATTAATTTAACAGAAATCCATATTCTAGCAAAATGTTTTTTTTTGTATAAAATTAATTCTTCTTTATCTGCTGACGCTACTACATATCACTTTCACAAATCCACGTATGTTGCTCGACACGATAATGTCCAACCGTTTATTTGTTTATTTACCTCTTGGTCGTGAGGTCCTGTGTTCGACGGCCAAGATGGGCAAAAGTGGTCATCACCTTCTCCGTGTGAGAAGAGGCCTGTGCTCACCTGTTGCTCTGTAAAATGTCACATTCGTCACGATTTGGTGTTTAAATAATAAAGAGGACGATGGATTCCTTTTTTCTAAAAAAATTTTTTTTAGCTATATGAGTATTTATATAGGTTAATTTTAGCTTCATAGGTTAATTGATCATGAATTGTGTCAAATATTGACACAGGTCTACAGGAAGAAGTTCTTCAAGGAATTTTCAGTACCTTTGTAGGTACCTCTTTTTTATTATAAGTAAGTATTGTATTCAAACGTGTTACATTTTGTGTAGGTAGGTAAAAAATATTTCATTTATTTTTTTAGATAAATAAATGACATATTTTTCTATATTTGCACCGCTTTTTTATAATAAGTATATTTTGTGTACATCATTAAAGAATCAAATGAATAAAATACTTTTTTCGAATTGTGTTTTATTTACTTCTGTTTCTTTGTGTCAAATATATAAAACTTATTTCCAAAAAATTAGTTAGAATAGTACGAATATGAAGTCATTATATCATAAAATCAATTAAGTAATGAAACTATTATTTTATTTTAGACTAATCTATTACCTTTATAAAAAGATCGAAAAATGTGGAATTATATTATACCTAATAATTTTCAAATAAAATGTCAAAATAAATTAACAAATCGGACAAAATATTTGGCAGAAAAATTATTATGTCAAGTCAAGGTCAATAACTATATCAAAAACAAATTGTGTGCTCTTATATATCTATTATTATAGTATATCAAAATAACACAGGTAATCCAAAATATTAAGCATTGTTTCAATATTTTTCTAGGTACTTAAAAAAAATTAGTATTTTTCTTGGTTAATACCTGTTTTAAGTAAACTCAGTAAAATACATTTATAGATACAAAAAAAAATTATTATAATCGCACAGAAAATATAGTTTACACACTTTAAAAATATAGTCTTAAATTTTGACCAGTTCTGATTCTGACCATCGCTATTAAGACAAACCATCTTTTAGACTAAAAAACCAAGAAAATTTAGCTTACAAAATACCCATACCTATCTATGAAGAAATTTAACTTTATCTAGTTCTTTATACATAATATTGACATGTAAACGTGCCGTTTTATGACGTATTTGCAAAAATAAATTCATTTTTTCATTGGCTCCCTGCTTACCCCGGAACGAAGCAAGCTTGAAGTTTTAAAACATTCTATTTGGTAAACCCTATACCACTGCAATGTCAATGACATAGACACGGGGAAAGGGACAAAGAATGCGTCATGCGTGTATAAGAAAGAGATAAGTATATTTTTGTTTGTAACGTCACAAGCTGGCGAGCGAGGCAGTGAAATCTTTTAAGGCGACGACCTATTTTTCTGATGTTATCGTTGAAGTTTGAAGTATTAAAGATATACTGAGAGTGAAAAAAAAATGTACAAATATATTCCACCATGCTAAGTGTGGGAGAGCCATGCTTCGGCTCTGCCGGAGTGCATGGCCTCACAAAAAACCAGCGTGAAACAACTACAGCGTTGTGTTTTCCCGTGTGATTCTACGGAAAGCACAATCCTTTCTCGATTTTTCCTCCAATCCAACCCAATCCCTAAATCTCCAAAACCCAAAAAAGGTTGGCAACGCACTCGTAACTTCTCGGTTGTAATCAGTATCAGGTAATCGTCCTATCACCTAAAAAAGTGCACCCTCTAACTATCTATAAATGCATGAAAACATAAAAAATGAATCGCAAATTGTGTATGTAAGTACTTAACTCAAGAACGGCTAGACCAATTTTGCCAATTCTTTTGTTGTATGTTTGTTACTGTCCAAAAAATGTTCTTATGGAAGAAAACAATTACAATAGTGCACGAGAAAAATGTGGAAATGGCGATTGATGACAAAGTTAAAAAAAACGTCAAATAGTATTTTTTTTAAATTCCTTCTAAATTTTGAAACTCCGGAGTTTCTTTGCGCAGTCACGGATCAAAAAAACATACTAAGAAAGTAAGATACTTCTCTTTAAGTTGCAGTATGCACGCGTTGACCAATAAAAACCGTTACAGAATGCACTCACTTAGACACACACACTCACACAGTACAAATACTGGTAGAACAAAATTATGCAATGATTTCGACGATAGGGAAATTATTTAATAATACTATTATAATAAATATTTATTAGTTTCAACAATCGTATATGTAACTATCGATTATAAATTCTAAATAATCTTTTGGTCGGTAAAAGTAAAATGGCATTTGTGAATTTTACTGTAAAGAAAATCAAGAAAAAGGATTTTCTTTACGTTTTTCTTATGAACCAAATTCGGTTTGACGTTATTTATAATTAAAGGATATCCTTATCACTCCATAGTATAAAAAAAGTCGCTTTCTCTGTCCCTATGTATGCTTACATCTTTAAAACTTCGCAACGGATTTTGATGCGGTTTTTTAATAGATAGAAGAGAAATTTTTATAAATGTATAACTAGCTTTTGCCTGCGACTTTGTTCGCGTGGAATAGTGACTTCCTGCAGATTTTTTGGTTTAAATACTATCCTATGTCCTTTCTTGAGTTCCAAACTATGTCTGTACAAAATTTCACACAAATAGGTTCAGTAGTTTAGGCGTGAAGAAAAGACAGACAGACAGAGTTACTTTCGTATTTATAATATCAGTTTGGATAACACCCATTAAATAGTTTATTAATTTAGTATGCATCATCGTTGCACCCGTGCAAAGCCAGGGCGTATACATTTTTTCTTTGACATCCCAACTGAGCGATTTTTCGTGTCATTTTTGTCCGATGACAGCTCGAAATTGGAAAATGGTATGTCGCTACATTTTTTCTTTTGAAAACACAGGCAAAGACGCTTAGCGAAATCTGCTTTAGTTAGGTTCATAAAAAACATGGTATTCTTAACAAAAAAACAATTGAAAACTTTTTTATATGAGATAGGCCAACGTGCAGACGGATTACCTGATGGTAAGCAGCCGGCACCGCACATATACACTCGCTACACCAGAAGAGCTACAAGTGCGTTGTCGGCCTTTTAGGGATTCGGGTATCGGAGATTTAGGATAAATAGAAGGATTAGACTGTCGGTAACCTCACTCATACAGCGAAACAAACTGTAGTTGTTTCACGCCGGTTTTCTGTGAGGCCGTGGTATCACTCCGGTCGAGCCGACCCATCCGGGCCGAAACATGGCACTCCAACAATTGGCAAGCGAATAAGAGATTTAAGATCTTTGATGTAACCATGTCACAGTGTATACTATTGACAGGAACTATCACTTCCCTGTGTGGCGTAATACACAGACACTTAACAAGAACCAAGACAATGTCGGTCTTAAAAAAATAAAAAAAAATTAAGGGCCAAAATCGCGCGTATATTCCTATTTTTTTATGTGATACTTTGGCAAATTGACGGATGACCTGATTTAAGTAATCAACGCCGTCCATGGTCTTCTGCAACTCCAGAGAAGTTCGAAATGCATTGCCAGACTTTGTGGAGATAAGGGGTTTTGGGGATTTAGGGATTGGGGACAGATATGGCTTGAATTGGGTTTCTGGTATTTGTTTCAGGCTAATTTTCTGTTTTATGTATTACTTTGGCGAGGGAAAGGGCTTGACAGACTCTTATTTGTATAGAACTGACGAAGCAAGTATATGCTGAGGAAACCTGGACTTATAATGTCAAATTATAAAGTGTCAGATTCTTACTGACTAAAAACCCCCCTGTTCCTTCTCCTGCTCTGGACCGAGGTCGCGGTGCCTCATTGCGCTTACCCCGCAACCCCGGCTGAACATCAGGCCTATAGGATCCCGTCTGTGGTGGTCTATTGGCTCTTTGAGGCGCGCGCAGAACGCTAGGCGCCGTACGTTCGGGCCCGGTTCTGGTCGGGCGGCGAGCTGCCCTTACTCGCCGACCGCAGACCCGCACTTACGGTGGCCAGAGATCGTCCCTTGATCCCTGGCGCCCGTAGTTCTGTTTAACCCTTTAAGAGATAAAAAGCGAGATATATGCTTCGTCAACCAGAACCACAATAGGAGCATACTCGTCCATAAACTGGTTTCTTCTTATTCAATCATTGCATAACTTGGCGCCAACATACTTAAAGTATGTGTATTATATGTTCACACAAAGTGGAAATGTCAAAAGATATATTATGTATATTTTAAAGCATTTTATGTAATAGTTCTTTATGTTATGCTAGCTTCTTCTTGAAACTTCGTTTACGTAGGACAGTGACTTGAATCTCAGTTTATTTATTGTAATTTTAATTTAATTATAATACCATTTATAGTGTAGGTAATATTATTAGCTTTATAATGAGAAAGTTTAATTTAAATCCGTCCATTAATTTCGGAGTTTAGCATGTGCAAACAGATAAACATACAAAAATTTATATCGTTTCTTTTTTTCGCATTTTAATTTAATTTTGTTGAATGTGTAAACAGACAAAAAAAAACATTTTTTTTTTTCTATTATTTTCTTTATTACTATTTTTTTTATATAATAAATGTAATGATGTATGTAATGCTTATTGATGCTTTTGTATAGATAAGCATAAAATTAATATATGTAAATATATCCGTACCTCCTTTGTGTTTTTGAGCGGAAAAACCATAAGATGACTTTTTTTTTAATATGTAGTAATTTTCGTGATTCGTTAAAAACTCAAATAAACTTACTCACATGAATTAACAGAGAAAAACTCAACTAGTTTCAAATTATAACGGGATTCTTATTCATGAGGAGCGTGGCCAAAATGGTCAACAATCAACATGAACAGTTGAAGTAAATGAATAAGCCGTTATTAAAAAAAAATCCGTCTTGAATGTGGAGAGAGCCAGCATCAGACTCTTACTGACTGAAAACCACCCCGTTCCTTCTCCTTCTCCAGGCCTAAATTGCGGAACCCTAAATTGAGAACTTAGTTTGAACTGACTGTCTGATCTTACTTTATATACGAGTACATATGTGATAGGTCGGCAAACGAGCTGACGAGTAGCGGGTAATAGTATCAACGTTGCACCTTGCAC